ATTTGAAACGACAAAAGCAAGTTGAAGCTTTCATATGAATTTCAGCGTTTTGCAGAAATCTCTCTACCCAAATATTTAGGATGGAATCCAGTAAAGGTTTGCATGCCATGAATAAGAGTACATTTTGCCCATTCTATACATTCTCTGCCATCCAGCGGCTGTCCTGTAAAATCGCTTAAAACTAAAGGGGTTATCACATCTAGCGTCGGCCCCGTTAGCCGGGACTTTTCTGAGAAACGAGATTCTGGTAGCTTTGGTTTAGACGTAAGGATTCCTAGAAGAAATAGCTCCTCTGGAAGCGAAGTCCAGCCTAGCTGCGGAAGCGATGTCCCGGTAACGCGAGATATTTTGAAACTTCGCCGAAAATGTTCCGTCTGCAGCTCTGTCCCGCGTAGAAAACAACCAATCAGAGTAAAGTTCTACTTCTGAAAGATCATGCGATCCCAATCTTATCAATAAAAGATACTGCTTGACGTTCAAGTCTGTTTAGTAAGTGAAAAGGGTAACGTAGCTACGTAGATTTCGTGGAAATGTGCGGGTTCAGAGAAATGTCCCTTTTTGACGTTCAGTACTGCGTAGCGGAAGCATATGTAATAGGGACTTAATACTTAAAATCCCTGCAAAACGGGACTTCTTGGATTTCTGCATGTATACCGTGAGTAGGAACCAGTTTCCTTTCAAATGCTGTCTAAGAAGGTATTCTTCCCCTTAGGGCAAAAACTCTCGCCTGCCATTTTATTAGCGAATGCGCTTAAAATACCGGTATGCATCTTTTATTACGCCAGTGTAATATTACAAATTCAGACATAATTCTTTTTAAAAATCCAATTTCCTTTCAAGAATTTAGAACATTTTGTGATATTAAGAACAGAAAAAGATTTTTTTGCACGTTTACGGTACATTTTTGGCATATATTAATAATTAATGTCTTATTATTATACTGTATATGAGGCACGTTCTCAAAGCATAACTCTTCCAATGATTAAAATCGTTTCTCTTTCTTTTATAACAGTTTATGCTTCATTTTATAATCGATACTTCTGATTATACATTTTCGGAAATAACTTTAAATTTAGGAACTGATAGCTTATTTCCTGATTTAAATGTGTGCATCATCATGAAAGACGTTAATGGTCTTCAAATGCGACCGAAAATATCTCGTTCAAATGGGCAAATGATTTATCGGTAAATTATAATTTTTTCCAAGTCCATCAGCTGAATGAGAGTTATTTCGTATCCCTTTTTTTAATACAATATCGATATCTGAAGTGAAATTAAAGTAAGCATATAATTACAGGACTTATATACGTCGTGTTTTCTTATGTATTTCCCATCATAGGATTTTAGCACTGGATTCTGAAAATTAAAGAAAAAATATTCGCATAATTATCCTCTTCGTCTATTGTGCACAATGTTTCCCTCAGAGATCTAGTTTATTAGTAAATTATTTTTTTTTATTATTTTTATTTTTATTTAATGTATTCAAATTGTATTCCATATTTGCGTTAGCGTTTTATCTATTTGACTTTCCCTGGCATTTATTAGTTGAAATGTAATTTATTCAGATTCTCCGTTAAGTTACCCGCACGTGGCAGATATTCTCACATTTATGAAATTTTCTAAACCTGTGATTTCACCTTGCTTTCACTATTTATGTTCCAGTACGCTGTAATGATTGTTTTGTTCGTCCTTCTTCTATCCTTCAATCCTTCGGTGTCACTCTAAGGAACTACGCTTAAGATTCAATCATGCGAGGTGCCTTTAGGTCTTTACACAGTAATTGAAGCGCGATGTGTCTGGCTCATTTACCAACAGATGTTGTAATATTAATGTTACTGTGTATTTTTATTTGAATATAGGTTTCTTTTAAAGCGATATTAATGTAAATGTTACTAATAATTTATCCATTAGTCTTTTTAATTTTTGCATTCTTACTGTAAGCCTGTTCTTCAGAAATTAAATTATTCGCATTATTTTACCTTCTCTAATTTTGGACGATAAAATTAGTTAAAAAAAGGGGTAAATAAGGAAGAACTATAAAACTCCTACTTTCTGGTGCAGTAATATTGAAACTACCTGTGGGCGTGAAAACAAACAATTATATTTATGGTTATAATGTTAAATGTAAACCGAAATTTGTACCCGCAGTTTATTTATCTGTTTCACCCTGGATCGGAAAATCAATGCCATTTCACTTTCAAGTACAGTCAACTCCCGATTCCTTGGCTGGAGATTAACTGGGCTTTGTCTAAGCTTGTCCATTTCGAGACACTGAAAAAATTAATATCACTAACCATTAACATAAAGCAAAACTGTCGACACAAAATGCAGAAATGAAAGGGAAATTGTACGGAATTACGGATCTATTGTAAATATTGTTTTATAATTATGTTTAATTATTTTTATATGTTTCGAATATCGATTAAATTTAGATAATCAACTGAATTCATTTTTAAAATTAGGTTTTTAAACTGCAGGTAAATTATTAATGTAATTTTTCTCATAGCTATAATCTGGGTTATTCCTCTTTCCTGTTAGTTTTAAATGTCTTTGGAATAGTCACAATTTTGAGTTAACTGTGGACCTCCATAAATATGTTGTTAATCACAACTTTCTAGGATACTGCTGTATGCAGAAGCTTGGCTGCAGGCTCTAATAGACTAGACGAGTTACTATTAAGTCTGAAAGAAATCAATAAGTCTTAAGAAAGTTAAAATAACTTCATTTAACTCCTAATTTAACCGAATTGTGGGACAGAAGACCCTACGCTACGTGCTCAAATGTACGTAAGGTAGTCTGAGACTGCAACACAAATAGATTACTTAAGATAATACAAGATAGTTAATTGTGTGTATTTAAACGTAGATTAGTAAAATGCTAAGGGCAGAATAAAACTTGGCGGAGCTGCCGATACTAATAAGTAACAGCAAGACGAGACTGCTTGAAACTTTATTCTAAGCATTCAAAACCCTCAGCTTTAATACACAAACAATTAATTCGCATGGGTGAGGACTACGGAAAGAAGAAGTCATAGTAAAGTTTAAAATCCTAATAATTGGTTAATTAACATAAAATATTTTATAACTGGTTTGAACTAAAAACAATATATCTATTCCAATAAAAACAAATAAATTTGAGCAGTACCTTTTAAGAGCACTGTTTTGTTAGGATTCGCATCCTAGCACGAAAGAATTTCATACCAGGAATTTCTTACTTTTCACTGAACCGAAATTTTCAAGGAAAGGAACTTTCTGGACAGCTATCCTATTATTAGATTTTAGTTACAGAAAGTATGTTAAAAATATTTTGCGATATCGAATTTGTTTTATTATCTATTTCATATTTTGTAAAACATTTTATTTGTAATTAACAAACTCAACAGTTTCAGAACGAGCAATGCCAACACTGTACGAAAAAAAAAAACATTTTTATCTCCAGGGCGAGAGACTGTATATCCGAAGTTCTAAAGATATGTTCAATTTAAAATTATTTTGCGATATTGCTGTTGAACTGAATGTTGTGCTTTAAGTACCAAGAACGTGATATTTAATAAAGGTAAGACATAAGCTAAAAATAACGTTCCTTTGGGCGTAAAGTTTTCAGATTATTTTTTTAATTTCTAATTTTGTTATCATTATTTGTTATAAACGTAAAAAGTGTTGCCTAGTGTAAAAATAATTTTTAATGAAGATTGACAGAAAAGAATCGCACGGCTTTTAAAAAAACTACCAGTGATGCGATAATTTTATATTTGTTGTTGCTGCTGTTATCTGTCTCAGTTGGCTGACAATGGTAAGCACAAGCCCACTGCATTCGTCATGGTAAGAGGTTAAATCCACATGTCTTTTGCATAAGCACAATATGGGTGACAGCCTAATTTTAGCTCAGTTCCACCCCTAATTTCGTGGGAGAGCGCCGCAGGGACACGGGTCCGAGTAGCTCCAACCCCTCTTTCCCTGACACCAACCTCTCGACTTTCAGCTCGCGGTATATTCAGATTGCCTCCATGCCACATAGACACTATACATTTACAGAGATCCATGTCTTCTCCGGAATTCGAGCCGGAGCCATTCGGTACGGCAGTCAGAGTCACAACCCACTATTCTGGTTGGGCGGCAATTTTGTATTTAAAAAGACAAAACGCTGTATTACTTCTCAGACATTACATAAATGGTGGTGCGTCGAAATTAGAGAAATCTGGACGTTTAAAATTTAAATTCGAATGAAGAAATTAAAATCTAGCAGTTTTGTTAAGTAGAACTCATATACAAAAATATGTAAAATTGATTGCAAATTCGTGCAAATAATTTACGGATACAAATTAAGAAAAAATAAGTACGTTCACTACTTATGGGAACGGAAATTTGTTTGGAATCTCTGTAAATGATATGAGAAAAACATTTTGAAATCCACCGTAATAAATTACCTAAAGCATGCAAATTTTACAACAAATTACTCACGCAATATATAGATTATCTCTTACTCTTGCAGTGAACGCAGTGAAAAATGAGTACACAAACCAAAAAAAAAAAAAAAAAAAAAAAAAAAAAATCTAACGGATAATTTTAAAAACCAAAATTTTTGCGTCGTCCTTCACTCTTGCATTTCACTTGCTTCCAAATTTTACTTTTTACGTTTCTCCTCCTTCAGAAAAGAACTGACAAGCGACAAATATCACCTTTAAAACGCACCTTGAAGCCTACGCGATTTAATCGCAGCCCTTGCACCTCTGTCACGTTATTCCCATGAGAACCTATTTACCTGAGCAATATTTAGTTTGACAAGTCCAGATCTGGAATAGAAATCTCACCTTAATGTGACACCGACTTTCCCGAGTTGTGAGAGGGAACGTTCCATCCTCTTCCCCTTATCCCTCAAACATCTCTTCGCGCATGCCCCCTCCCCCATCATATGACGTCACGGCATCACTTTATTGAACCACGAGCGAAAATTCGAAGTTCCTCAGTTGGATGCGTCTGTTGCTGAAAGACAGTCGAAGTTCTGCCGCTCTCTGATCAGCACCACAGAGCACGCTGCTCGTGCCATGCTGGACACGAAGCACGTTTAGCTTTTTGCATTAATATTCAAAACTTGTTCTTTTTCGCCAAGGCTAATTGTACGATCTTTCTGGAATCACGCAAGGTGTTTTGGAACTTTAATAACTTCATCGTGCATGAGAATATTTGATTTGAGAAGCTCTGACCTTAAAAGAATTTACTAAGTGTATGTTTGTGCAGATTTGGAACATCATGCAGAAATGGTACGGTTTCTTTCATTCGGGATTGACTTTGAATACCAAAGGGAATAAACCATATCAGAGTTAAATCATTTCATAGATCATATCATCGCATACGATTTTCCTTTAAAACTATTGAATTAAATTTGGAAAGTCCAGAAGAGGCTTTATGTGCCATAAGAATGTCCGTGAAGATTCAGGTAACATTGGCTAAAATAATTTTAAGTTATTCGTTCGCTTTCTGCTAAAGAGATAACATTTCCGAGAGATGTTATCGATAGTTTGATGATGATATGTTACTCCTATTTGCATTGAAATGTGATGTTTAATAAATGGGTAGTTCTTGGTATTTTATTTCCTGATTTTCGGTCTAAAGTCGTTTGATCAAACATGTCGGCATTATAAATAAAGGTGGATTGAATCGCTTTTGAAATTATTTTCAGCTTTGGTAACAGTGTCACTAAGCCTCATAAAATATTTCTTAAAGATAAATTACCAACAGTTTACATTTAAGCGGTAGTAAAATATTTGTAATGTAAAAAAAAAATTAAACTTTTTTGTCTATTTTTAATGTGTCAACAAATTAAAGATAATTACATTAATGATGCATCATCAGTTGCTGATGGCTAACTGTTATACAACTAATATCATATATTACTGTTGTTGTATTTGGAAACTGAGAAACGTTAGAAATAGAAAGCTGTAGCAATCAGTCTTTATTTACTGACGAAACGATATGTATGCTGAACTTGTGAAACATTATGAAATAAGTTAGAACGTTGGGCAAAGAGATTTATTGTTAACATCCAAGCCTTTCAATTACTGTGATAAATGACAAAACCCAACTAAGGAAGATATTCTTAATACGCATGTATTATTTAAACACATTTGCATATAAGTTTCAATTAAGACTGTGATTGTAATTACGAATTCCAAATACCAAGGTATTCAGTGCTATATATCAGTATTTCAAATTTTATTTAAGAAGAATTTATCTTCTAGGAAAAATATAAAATTTCACGATGTATCATGTATGACTTTGAATGAGATAAATAAGTATTACGAGACATAAATTCTTGAATTTACATAAACGCGTTATAATAAATGTTTAATAATCCAAGAAATATTTAAAGTGCATATTATCTGTGTATATTTTATCGGAAATTATTCGCAGATTTTTCTCGAGGTAACGTCACATAGCAAAAGGGATATTTTAGTTGTTGTTACAAGCGCTAGTTTATGCAGAAGACGTCTACTGATTACTGTAATTGTGATACATATCACATCAAAGTGTTTGAAATTAAAAACTGCACAAACCAAATATTATACTGATGTCAAAAACTGAAAAATCACATTTGTTAGTGTCTGTCCACGTGAAATTCTAAGGAAAACAAAATATTTCTTAACAAATAGAATTACTAAACCTTCAGAATTGTTGTTGATAAATGGAAGAGGCGAAAAGTTTAATATATGACTTTTGAGAAAAAGAAATTTCCGGAGAACATTTTTGGATCAAGTAAGCTCGGAAAAAAATTGACTGTAGTTTCTTTTATTGCGATACTCTCTGGAAAACTTGATTGTCATCATTTTGAAGAGTTCAAATCCTCTGGGATTTATATATTGACCAACATCTCTTCCTCGCTAAAAAGGAAGAAAGCGAAACCTTGAATTGTTTTATTCAGGTACCGTGAAAGCAGAAACAGGGAAAACATGTAATTTTCCCCTAGTCAAACTATCTTCTTCCCTGTTTGTTCTTTTCTATGAATGTTCTATGATCTAAGTGGCTTTTTGTGTTTATTTTCAAGTTTACTATCTGTTTGGAAGAACATCTTGCAAAAGAAATTTTTTTTTCTTTTGTGAAACTTCGAAAAATGGCTTCCTTGCGGAATATTTGCGTCTCTTTCATCATTCTTTTTGCAAAAGGTAAGATTGTTGTTTCTTTCTTATCATGTTCTTTCATGCAATTACATTTATTTACATATTTATTGATCAGGAGAAATAAATTTGATTAAATTAATTTCTCATGATCAATAAATATGTCTTCAAAAGTATAGTATGTTTTTTAGAAGTTTAATTTTGTATTTGAAGACCAATAATATTATAAATGCAAACGGTCTTCATTATTAAAGGCATTTTAATTAAAATTACGAACTTCGCTTTAGTTTCGTTGACAACTTAATGAAATTGTTCTTATTGTTTCCAAGAAAAGTAACGTTTTATAAGAGTCTGTCTAGGGGTTTAAACTACATGATTATATGCTAGCAAATTAAATAAAGCTAACCCATTAATAGTAAGCAATGATTTTACTTCGTATCAAACATTTAAAACGAATTTTTGCTATCTTCGGTACATGCGGTTTCACAAAAAGGTGCATGTGTTTCACGCAGAGCATATTTTACTTTACATATACCTCATTACTTATATTATATATTATGTTAATTTTAAAATAAGGTGAGCATAAATGGTTTCAAATCAGAAATCATAAAATGTAATCAGAAAAGTTGACAGTGCTGTAAAAACCAATAAATTCTCCAATAGATTATTTAGAAACAAGAATTTGAAATTAAATTGACAATCTTGCTGTAGGGATTAATGATAATAAACCTCTCCAAATTTTGTAACATTTTTTTACAATAATTATATTGATTAAACCTTTCTTCTGAAAATTACCGCAGTTTTCTTGAAAACCTAAACATCCATTATCTCTCTACCTATGTTTCTAGCTATCTGTCTGTATGTTTATCTATATATGCCTTTCTTTCTGAATATATATATATATATATATTTATTTCCTTAATTAAGGAAAAATTTATAATTTTCATTACCATTACTGTTTTGCAAAACAGACTGTATCTTGCGCATGTTGATACTTACATTTCATTTAAAGTTGTATAATTCATGAGCAGTCATGCATTTTAAGGTGCTTATTTTATATACAGTCTGCTAAAAAGCTGATAAATTTAGAAGCGTAATGAAATTTACCCGACTATCTTTTATTTTCTAAGTTGTGACAACAGCTGGCAGCTATGCTTGATTTAGGTAGACTCTTGCTAGCAAAAATTAATTTTTTTTTTGTTCAGCTTCAAGCGTTTAGATTCTTCACTGAAAAATTTCCAGTGGAAGGAAATATTCGCCTGAAACTTCTACCGACTTCCTTCGCTTGAGTAATCAGTGATGAAACGGTGATTTTTTAATTATGCCATTCAGATGATATACATGCAGGTTACATTTATGCATAATTATGTTCACGAGTAAGTCTTTTTTAAATCTAGATCGTTTTTGTAGTTCTTCTGTATCCATTCGATCCGTTGTACGATTTTTTTCTTTTTTGCAAACAGTTATGTTATAGAGAAAATTAAGAATGTAAAATCCTCAGACTACAAATTCATTGTAAAATTAAATTATGTGCTAATATTGAGTAGCTTACATTTCATTATTGGGGGGGAGGGGGGAAGAAATAAAAGGCGTAAACTTTAAGTGTTGGTTTATAACTATAAATTCAAGAACTCAATGATACTCACATGATACTCACCTCAATGATACTCAAAGATACTCACATGATACTCACCTCAATGATATTCAAAAATATTCACCTGTGCGTTTCATTATTACGTTCTATGCGATAATGAGCGAAATATTTAACGTGTCTTCTAGCTTCATTACCTAATAGTAGCTATGGAATATTTGTTTTTATATTCAATATTACGATATTTACTTTGTATTGTAATTTGTATCGTCCATAACGCTACTTAAGATTGGAAAAGGTTGAGTTAAAATAGAATTCTGTGCTTAACCTTTGCCTATAATGTTGAGAACTCCACACGGAATGTCTACGAGTAAGTATAGCATATTTCTCTTAGATGCTTAAAATTTTAATATTGCTTAATGCAAGTATGTTTAATGAAGATAAGTGTATGTATTTCGTTAAAAGTGCGTATATTTCGCTAAAGCTGAAACCACTGAACTAAAATGATGATTTTTTAAGGTATTCGACTACGTTTTAATCGTCAGTTTCGATTAAATGCTTCAAAACATATTTATTAGTTTATTTTAAAGCTTATACATTAAGCTTATACATTTCCAAAACTATTTTTATTTTGTCTCTGCGCTCTTTAGAAGCAGAGTTATGGGCGTTCTTGGTCTGCGCCGTGAGCGGGAAGTTTCTGCTTAAGAACCCAAAAGTTGACTTCTACAAGTAAAGATACACAAACTGCTCTAAATAACTTTATATTGAGAATATTTCCGTTGAATACTTTTGGTGATGTTCAAAAGAAGACTTTGAAACTTTCCATTTTATGTTACGTTCCCGGGAACATGATTAATATTTGTGATTTAATTTTCTTATTTGGTAACATTTTCTTTCCCTTATTGTTTGTATTCGCACTATATTAAACCAACGTTTTTGAAAAACTTGATTTTTTCTTTAGCTTTCCTATCACTTTCATTTAAAATATTACTACAGTAATTTAAAGAAATTCTCCGCAAATATTCTTTGAAATATTGTGAAGTGGGCTAAACGTTTACGTTTACGTTCTAAGGATTATGTTAATTTTATTAACAGTTAAATTTTAACTTATTTCATGTCAAATTCTTAAATTCAACTTACTACTTCCGGACAAAACGTAATTTTAGAATAACGTCTGAATACCTAACGAGAAGGAGCGGTATTTAACCGCGAAGTTCTACTCATTGAGTTAGAGAGAATCAGAGTTTCTGATTAGCACGCTTCAGCCTTTTTGGCTACTCTCTCTCAAAGCTGTTATTACGCTCGGCCGCACTCAGGTCTCTGATAGCTTCGCAGTCATCTCGTGTTTAAGGGGCCAACTCCATTAAAACTTTGATAGCTTTGGCTACATCTCTTTTGTTTAGATTAGTTTTAGTTTACTTCTTAGCCTCTTAAGTTCAAGCCCATGTGTCGGCTTTTATTGTACACTCCAAGACAGAGTTCTGGTAAGTCTTATTTGAATAATAAAGGGTTATTAACCCTTCCATCGTGTTGTTTCTTGTCGCACGAATTCAAGCGATTATTCGTTTTACAGTTCTTAAGATTCTTCATGTTCAACTGTAACGAACTCTACAACGTACATATCTAAACTTTTTTTAGACAATTTTGTAAATGAAAACAGAGAAAGTTTTCGAGAAATAGCAAATGTATATGCTCAGACAGTTATATATTTCATTTTATTTTATCACTTAGAGTTTAGTCCATTTAATTACTTACACCTTACTGAATATCAGGAATAAAATAAAAGTAAAATACTGATAAATATGTTTGTGAGAATATATCACCTAATCCAGATATTTAACACATTTTTAATCCAGAATGTAATAATAATAAAAAAAAAGTACAAAAATATAAAGATTGAAAGCTTTCAGATTTGATATTACGCCCAAAGTGGCGATTTTCCATTTACATACACATACACATTTCGAGAGCATTTGGGCTAATGTTCCTTTGGGCTAAAAATATTTAAAAACAGCCTATCTTCAGAATTTGCTTGCGCCTTGGAGATAAAAAAGTTCTTTTCCCGTGCAATGCAGTCATTGCTCGCTTTGAAATCGTTGAGTTTGTTAATTAAAAATTTGCAAGAGTTTTACAAAATTTGAAATGCACAATATAATAATCAAAAACGGACTATCTCTAGAAATTCCAATAGACAGTCTCGCGCGCTAGAGATAAAAATGTTTCTTCGCGTACATTACTGCTCTTGCACGCTTCGAAATCATTGAGTTTGTTAATGAAACATTCGTTGAAGTTTTACAAAATAGGAAATACGCACTAAAAACAAATTCAAAATTCGGGTTTCCAGGTGTCCTCATTCGGGTAGAGACTATATTATTCAAAATTTGATGATTCTGATTTTCACAGTGCGAAAAACATGCACACTTTCATGCAAATTCTTCATTATTTAATTTATTTATGCATTATACAAGACGATAGTATTTGTTGGTAAGTGATTCAGACTTTTATAGCGAGTCAACAGAAATTCCCGTTTTTAGACTACCCCTTTTGGGCTCATTATACTTTGATAATATGTTTATCACCTGTTTCCATCATTTTAAAGTAGTATTCTGCTAAATAACATCAATAATAGATTTATTTATATCCTTCTACAATCTTTTGATATCGAACATAGTTGGATACATTAAGGTATTGGTGAAAATTGTTCAGAAATAAATTTACTTTTTCAAATACATTTAAACATGCTATCGCTAATTTGTAATAATGATTCTGATTGTTTAAATAAAACCTGTAAACTTAGATCTGCATGCAAAATGATTTATAATTTCAGGTAGTTGAATTAGATAAAAGTAATACATCACGGAATGTAATTTTGCTCCGAAAAAACTATAATTTGTGAGGAACATATAATATTAATAAAAATTAAAATACGGGTATAGCATTTTCATGGGTCTTGAAAACACAAGTTTAGATCATCTTTCCACATTAACGAGTTGGTCTCTTCCTTGAGTTTATGTGAAGGGCATTCATTATCTGTTTTCTGCATGGTACCTTAAGAGCTTGGTTCTAATTAGCGCAGTCGGCATTGTCTGTAATAAACGATGTAATAACACTCTGTTGAGCAAGGTTATGGCTTCCGTGTCGTTAAAATTCATCTTCCGCTGTCGAGCTGCGTACTAAACTTCCCTTTCCGCCCTGCTGTTCGTAAACAAACTCCAACGATTCATTCTTCCGTTGAAATTTCCTGACATGTCCATTTATCAGTATCCAACTTCAATCACTGTTCTATCTTCCGACGTATCTTCAACAAGCTATAAGAATGCACTTTTATTATTATATATTTAGAGACTCAACTTTGTTTAATTTTTATCACTTTCAAAATCAAGTTTCCTGACATAATTGTGCTGAGTATATTCATAGAATAACGTCGTTAAAAATATAATTTATAAACTGATTAAAAATTAATTCCTGATTTAAAAATTAATTCGAGTGCTATAGAATAAATGAGAAATTTAACAAACTCTAGCGAATAGAGTACTTAACAGATTAATGAAATATAAATCTTATAAAAATAAATATTCAGATTTCATTTAAATCTAGAGTATAAAATATTCTAAATGTCCATATGATTTCTTCAAGTTCTATATTTTCGCTGACAAGATTGCTGATACATTTTTGATACTTACAATTTTCATCTTACCGATTACCGTTTTCAAAATGCAAATATACCATTTTTTCATTTTGCCTTCATTATAATGCCTAGATATGTTTTAAAGCAATCTTGAATTTGCTGCAGAAATTAATCATTTGTAAGAAAAGTTGTAACTTACTTGAAAACAAGCGATGATTCTTTAAACGTCTTCAGAATGAGAACAGTTTTCCATTAGTGCGTGAAAATATGCATTTATTCCGAAAAATAATTTTTTTTATCTCTTATATCTTTTAGAAGAAAGAGACTGTTTACTAAATTTAAGCATGTTCTTAGGGATTATTTCTTAACATAAGAGTCATTCTCTCTTTCTTCTCATCAATCTTCTCTTTTACATTCTTAAAAACATCTTTGTGCCTTGATCTCTTTACTGAATCATAAGAAGGCTTTAATAATTCCTTTCTCGTGAAAATTAAAGCAGCATGGCTTAATCGGAGATTTCGCATAAATAAGATCACCTTTTTAAATGGGAAGTAAATCTTAAGGGAGTGAATTAGAACTGTACACACAACAGAAACTTTAAATCAACAAAAGCTGGAATTCAAAAGGTGGTTGAATAAAAATAATCCACTTTAAGCTTTATTTATTTTAAATGTAAATAATTTGGAAACATTCATAGGGTGAACTTTCCTATGGCCGTTTTGATTCAAATCTACGTTTAGTATTTAACTGTTTCAACTTTTGTTGTATTTACTAGTTTTTTTTTTTAACCAATATGTAAAATAATACCTTGAACGTTTTCCATTTGCTTTTTAGATATATTTACATGATAATTAAAAAAAAATTCCTTACGGCTAAAACTCAGATAAACGTATAAAAGAAATAAAGACAAATCTGCAAAAATTAAGTTTAAATTAAAATATTTTCACAATATCAAGCTTTACCAATTAGTAACTGCTTCATCTTTCAAATAATCGAAATCAATTACAGAAAGTCTGTAAGGTTAACAGATTTTAAAGTCCAAACGGGCTCTGTTAAAGTCTGATATAGTTTATCTGTAGAGAACTTCGATAGAGGTGACCCAGGTGCAATAGCGAAACATTTTATGATATTTGATGCATATGCATTTAGACTGTCATGGGAATGTTATATATCATCTGTATGTTGATAAAAATATGCAATGCTGTTCTGTAAAAGTATTGAATATCTTTAATTAAATGTATCAGGAATTAAATGCATTTAAATCAATAAGATTAAAATTTTAAGTAATATTCTTAAAAACAACATCTATTGCTTTCTTAAGAATATTAGTTAGTTTCATTTACTAATAGTTTAATTTTCAATTTAACAGTTTTAATTGAGAGTTTAATTTGCTAATTATTAACAGGGAGATTAAATATGAAAATCTCGTAAGTTTTTCCGAATAGCAACAGACTCGAATGAAAAGTGAAACAACGTATTAATTTTTTTTCTAATGGCAGATTGTGAACAGTTACAGTGTAACCCAGTCCATTAATATATACAAAGCCAGATGTGGGGGTCTCTTTATTACAGAGGCACTTAATAGGTGGGCCACCATCGCCTCCTATGAAGGGAAGGACAGTTACAACCATGCTTTCTCCGGAATTCGAACCCAGATCCTTAGGTATCGCAGTCAGGCTCCCCTAACCACTATACCGTCTGGGCGGTCGTATTTTGAGACTAATAGCCCATTCAGGTTAATAAAAATAAAGTAGTTCCTAAATTCTTAAGAGAATTTTCACTACAAGAATTCCGCACTCTAAGTTAAACAGTCACAAAATTTAAAGTATTTTAAATTTATACTGCTTCCCCACATGTGAAAGATTATGTAGTTAAAACCTGATTTAAAACCCAAAGCTTCCTTTCACATTGGGTATAAATTCAGCAACATAAATCAAACTTGACAAGAAGTTACAATCTTTCTTAGCGTGAGACAAAACTATTTACCAAAATCTAAAGTATGTAAATGGTAAATAATGGCTATAAAATGAGCAAAGTTGATCAAACTTGACCAGAGGTTACAAAGTTGTTTAGCCTGAGACAGAACTACTTACCAAAATCTTATCTACTTTCAAGGTTCAATATTCCAGTCACCAGCAGCATTGAAGTCGCCAAGAGACTTTAATCGAAAAGGCAGCCGTGAACCATAGGCCAAATCTCTCACATAGTATGCGTTCAGTACGCGCCGCTTACTGAATATATTTGTCCACAACTATTTAGATAATTAACCGAAGGTAACATTAAAAACATATTCTTGAAAATATCAGTGGAGTTTTACCAGTTTATTATAAATATGGTAAGAAACATATAAATAGGTATTTTCGCAGCAGAAACATATAAATAGGTAATTTTTTTTTTTTTACTAACTGTTCATATTGTTTTTAATGAAATGTTCATTTATGTACTAGTCATAACGTTTCTGAAAATTATGTTTGCCATGATGTTCGCCTAATCTTAATAACTGGAGGACATGCTCTTTGAAAGACACCATACCAATGCAAAATTAAAAACCCCTAAAAAGCAGTCTTAGTTTCGCATTGATGTTTTAGGGGAATTTGTTTCCAGCAGCAAGGAAAAGAAAAACAAACTGTAGAAGTTTTGTATTACCATTGAAGATGAGGGACTCGCTTATTTTCCCTCAAAATCAATAGACATGTTCAAAATCTGCTCCAAATTAAGTTTTTTTTTTTTTTTTTTTTTTTTTTTTTTGCTTAATTTTAAATCTTTGATTGAAATCGAAACCAAGCTGGTTGGAGCCTTAATCCCTTACCTGGTGACATTTCTCTGTCACTTGCCTATTCTTATAAACTCTTTTGACCTTATTTACAGACTTTAGTACCATTAAGAATTTGTTCTAGAAATTTATTCTTGATCACATTAACCGAACGGTTTTACAGAATAAGAAAAATATTTCCTTGTTCACGCATACAAACTGGTGGAACTTCGCCAATTCGGTAACAATATCCCCCGAATGACAATATAACCGCAATCCGATTAAGCGGCGTCTACTGTAATTTATCTACCTATTTTGCCAGATTTTCATTAAGTTCTAGAATGAGGGAACGTCATGGCGTAAAGTGCCAGAAAGGAAAGAACTAAAATAAAATTGTACATATATAAAAGTAAATAATAAATAAAATCATTTCATTTGGAAAGCTTATAAGGCAATTCTCCCGCCTTCGTAGTGTAGTGGTCAGCACTCTGAGCTGATACTTCAGAGGTCCGTGGTTCGATTCCTGGCGAAGGCGTTGCTAATTTTTCATCTCTCCGGCCTCAAAATAACCTAATGTCTCTACAGTAGCGCCCGAACTAAAAGGGTGTTGGAAGAGGATTCTCCACACCCAGTATTTGGCGATTAGTTTCCCTAAAAAACCCCAGTCTCCCTTTAAAAGGGAAATTTATAAGGTATTTCTCCCACCTTCTTCGCATGCCTTCTTGGTGTGGTGGCCTGCACATTGGAACGCTATCCCGAGGTCCGTGGTTCGATTCCCGCTGAAGGCGATAGCTAATTTTTTCATCACACCGGCTTCCAAAAAACCCTAATGTCTCTACAAGCTTAAACATAAATTCATTCCTTTAATTCTTGATAGTTATTAAGAATCAGTATGACAGGCTGATAAATAGTTAACTAATATTAAGATACTTCAATCTATTTGCTTTATAAACCAGAAATTAAGTAATTACAAGATTCTTGTATTCATAAGAGCTCCAATCTTAATGTCCTAAAATATGTATATAAAAGTAAACTCAGCGGCAAAACATTTTCTAATGAATAGTCTCGTATTTCATAATGGTATACAAACAGCCCTTTAATAAAAATAACTGAAAACTGTATGAAATCTTTTTAAGCTTTTCGAAACCAGTTTCAATAAAAACTGAGCACCGGTTACGTTAAGGATTATATCTTTCCGCTCAGAGCATAAAGGTAATAAGTTCGTCTAGACTGGATTTTATTTATGTCATGCAAATCAAGAACTTTGTATTCCATAAAATATACAATTTACGTAAACTTTATTATATTAGCTAAATTTCTAAAAAACTTCTTTAAGGTTTTGCATCATGGAAATTCAGAATATGATTTGGGAATGTGCAAAACCAAGATATATAATTTTCATTAACTATTTTATTATTATTATTTCAAAAATTGGAACTTAAAATACATAATAAGTCATTTCATTCCAAACCTATTTACATATTTATTAAATCATAATAAATAGTATCAGAATTAAGAATATAATATTATAAAATTTTAAATATGTATTCAATTTTACAAAGTATAAGTATTGCTTCAACGATACTTATTTTTTCTGTTCCGTATATTTAAATAATTTTCCTTTTTGTTATGAAAATTGAAAATTTATTTTCTCAAAAAACAGTAAAATTTAATAAGCATGTTTCTTTTGAAATATATGCATTATTTCAAAAGGTTTTAATAGTCCTGAATCTCATAGAGATTTGCTATGTCTAAGTGTCTAGAAGTTTGTGTCAGTGTCCTAAATACCTTATTAAATTGAAAAGCAAGTTGTTGTTTTAACCTGTAGCAAATTATTAACTTGCAAGAAGATTAAAATGGACCTGTCTTAACTCTTTAAATGAAACAAAGGCAGTACTTACGCTACAATTGAACCTCCACTTTTTGCGGGTATTTAAAGTAACATATGATGAAGTTAAATTCAAATTTAGGTAATGTAGTCTAGGACTACTTACAAGATAGATTAATTAAGATAATTAATGCCACACAATTCAAACGCTGGCTAGGAAAACGCTAACGTAACTTTGAAAACGTGGGTAAAACTTCAGCAGAGTTGGCGATAGTACGTAATTGCAATCTGCGGCTTCCAGAAGCTCTCACTATAAAATAGTCAAAACATCAGCTTGAATGTACTACAGAGTCATTAGAAGTTTTGATGCTGGATACGCGAAAAATTAGGAATACCCTCGCCGAGACTCGAACCCTGGACCTCTCGAATAAGCGCACAGTGTGCTTCCAGTTACACTACGAAGGCATGCGGAAAGGAGAGAGAAAGTAACTTATGCACTCTCCATTTTCAAGGGCGACTGGGATTAGGGAAACCAATCACGAAATCCTGATGGTGACGAATTATCTTCCTTGCGCGCCATTGGTAGAGTCATTAGGAATTTCTTTTATCATCCGAATACACGTCGAGTGTACTTCCAGTTACACGACAAAAGCATGCGGAAAGGTAGAAGAAAATTCTTTAAAACACAAGAAATAATTTGCATTCTGGTCACGACTACAGAATAGAGAAGTTAAAAGAAAGGTTCAGCTCATAATAATTGGTTAACACAAAATCCTACAAAGTAGATTTTACATCTGTTGTTCAAAGCCACTTTTTGCTTCATGCACTCCTTTCACCATTGCTAGACGATCATATTCCTCTCCTTTTTTTCAAAATTCTAAAAGTACGTAAACCCTTATTCGAATTTAAATTACTTTGTAATGCGTTTTATAAATTAAACAAGAAAAAATATAGAAAATATTGATAAATAACAAAATCAGTAAAAGTAGTTTCTTTTATTCATAACTTAAATGCTAAACAAATAAATAAAACGTTGACAGCATTCCCAACATGAAACCATATAATTCCACCCAAGGGGAAATTCGCCCCTGATTGAGACCGCTGATTTAGATGATATGGTGTTTATGTATGATCCCGTTCATTTCTTTGAAAATTCCGAAGCAAAAATTAAATTTTAGAGAGTTCAGAATGTAATGCATATGATTACTATTCTAAGATAGTCTATTTAAATCAGATTCTGATTTCTGATTTGCAAATGTAATTTTAAATGAAAAAAGTGTAGTTATTTACAACCATTCATTAAATAAAATTTTTACTGCGCTATTATATGTCCTTTTAAAGTTACGTATTTCAGCTAATTGAACAGATATTTCTGACATTAGTATTCTGATATTAGTGAACGTGGAGTATATATGTATGTAGCATTATATATAGTAATTAACAGAAGAACACTGCTATATTAATTTCTATATTTTGTGTCGTCTCACCAAGGGCTGAGTGGCAAAGTCGCTGAAAACTGGTAGTTCATGTACAGTTCGATTCCAAGCGAGCGGGCTAGCTGCACGGACGTTTTCATATATATATACAAGGATATATGCCCTGTCGATGCGATTCAGGTTCCCACAGAAAGTTATTTATGAATGCATCGTTAATTGTATAAAGCATCGTTCCCTTTAGGCAGATAGGCCTCGCATGTTTTGCTATAATCAAGCAACCTCAAAATACTTCTTTTTGTGCCAACCTGAAGCATTCTACAATAGGCTAAATTATTCGAATATTGCAAACCACACAAAATATGCTTTCCTGAAGCACATTCTAAGCTAAACGTGTTCAAATTCGTATTAGAAATCGGAAAAACGACGAAAATTAATCATGTAGATAAATCGTTCTTTTGATTTCGAACTACGACCGATGTACCAGTATTCAGTGGTTTTAGCAATTCAGCCATTGATGAGGCGAAACATTACATAACGTTAAGAATTTTGTACATCTGTAAATAGTCTTAGCGGAATTATGTGTCAAATTGTAGTAATTTTGTATAATGTAAAATGAAATGCTCGAAAGAGACAAAGCTATGCCGGAAAAGTAAAAATACAGAGAGAGAAGTCTATTAAACGTTGAGTAAATGCTTATCTCGCTAAATTAGCGAGATATCGCCAAGCTGGCAGTGGTTTCGTCGACTAACTGTTATCGCCAAATTTGGCGAGAAATGGCAAAAATCCGCTAAACATGTTCAAATTCGTGGTAAAACTTGGTGATCATTCGGCAACATTTTGGTGCGGTCTCTGTATAAATATAACTGATATTGTAATTGAATAACTGTAATTGATTTCTGTATGTAACTATTAATTGTATCCGGCCCTCATAGGCCTTACGGTAATTTCTAGAATTGGAACGTACTAGAGATTTGTAGGCGGTTGGAATAAAACCATATAAGACCGGAGAGAGCAGCCGCTCTCCGTTTTTCCTCATTTGATTAGTTCAGCGATAGTTCGGAGTACTGAGAGTTCTTGGTAGTAGATTCGCCCTTTTAGATGCGCTTTGCACAGCGTTGTGTTTAAAGCTCTAAGTAATTTGAAGTGTAACTAGTGATTTTACTCAGTGATAGTGAGATGAGCTGTATATGTATTTTTGTGGAAAGTTCCAGAACTGTAAACCGTTTCTTTTGGTAAAAATAAATTTTATAAAGCTATTGTTGGTTCTGTGCATTCAATCTATTACGCACCCGTACGCACGCGAGAATAAATTTTTTATGATTCACTGTTTTGTAATAATTCAGAAGAAGTTTCAGCTTCATGAAAAATGAATTTAAACAAAGTGTGTTAGACTCTTCCCTTTATAATATTGAAAATGATACATAAGTTGCATTCAAATTACATTGCGTTTCAAATGAAGCTTCTCGTAGTAGCTAATGTTTGATTAGCACAATATTAATTGTAACCGGATACAGGTTGACTGTAACGATTGTCTGAAGCTTTTCCAATAAATTTTCATTGCATTCCATTCATCACAGTTTTCTAGTTAAAGACAAGCAGACAGAAGCTTAATTACTTTATTTCGATAAATATACTTAATTAATCTGTCATTTTTTAATATTAGACTCATAAAAAATAATTGATTTTAACGTGAAATTTAATTAATTTATTGACACGTTTTTAGCATATTTTAAATTTCACTCGAATGTTCTGAATTTTTTCGTTCAGTAAACTCGGTTTAGCTTCTCTTTCCCCCTGTCACTGCCTATTTTATATGACTCATCTATTAATATGTGTTGCATAATGAAACTTTTGTACTGTAGTCTCAGTATATATTGGTTCTATAAACAGTACAAGTAAAAACATTGCAATCTAATAACATTGAAGATAACGTGTTAACTATCTCAGACCATTTAATCCAATATTTTGATAACGATTTCAAAAATGTATATTCGGACTGCAAAAGTTTAGATACCTTGTATTTATAATTTACATCTTTCTTTGGTCAGTCAAAGAAGTGAGAAATAAATTACCTTAAATTGAAGAATATATGTACGAGAAAATAAATTTCCATTTTTTTTTTGCATTAAGAAGACATTATTTGCCTTCCGAAAGTTTACCAATGCAATATTACATCTTCTGATGAGCAACGAACCGGCATAGCACGGTAAAATTGTTGCAAGATATACTGAAAACTAATGGGAATCTTAAAACCTCAAGCATTCCTACTTA